AGGGAGAGAGAGAAAAAACACACAAATTACCAAAATTACTAGTATCAGGAACAAAATAAGGGATGTCACTACAGATCCTACAGACATCAAAATAGTCAGGGAATATTATAGACAACTTCACACCAAGAAATTTGAAAATCTAAATGAAGTGCACACATTCTTTGAAAGATTCAATTTACCAAAAAGGCCTCAGGAACAGATAGGCGATTTTTATCCAGCCTATTCAGCACTGATGCATTGAATGGCACTGAAAACCACTAGCTTGTATCTGATTTAATCCAAACATCAGTAAACCAAAGATCACAGAATATTTGAACAGGATTAGACTGCAAATAAAACCAAACCACCCACGGAACAATAAAATATACAATGAATATTGATGGTTATGTCACCAAAAAGTCTCTAAATATTTTTCACTGACTTGACTGAAAACTTGAGTCAGTTGTTTATGAGTTGTATAAACATGATCTTCAGAATTCAGATGTGAAGGCACATGGGTACCCAACACCCAATATCCCTTCCCAATTCCCTTCTTCCACACTCATATGTCCCCATCTCCCTTGCAGGTAGATACAGGTAGCCATAAGGTACCATTCTGGAAAATGAATATAAGCAGTTATCTACTAAAACCACGATAAAAGGGGTCAAATGTTCAGCAGGGGCCTTGCAAATGAGAAAACGAGAGCTAGTAATCCTGCCGTCCCTGCACTGATGGATCAATAGTGGGTCTCTTGTTGTGTGGGACAAGTCCCTATGTCTGTAAGTACTTGCAAGTTAGAGTTTTGCTTACTTTCAATAGTATGCAACCTTAATAGAGGACTCTGATACATTTTTATATTCCCACAATGAAGGAATCGACTAAAGCAAAAAGGAAAACATCAATCCAGCTCTTCCCTTGACTGCCTCTGAGATCTTGGACTCATCCGTCAGTATCTATGAGCCTGACTCTCAACATCTGTAGATAACAACTTTCTGGAGAAGATGGTGCCACAAGAGAACAAAACACAGGCTTCGGAATCTCTTTTGGCTGCCCGAAAGAATACAGGAAGTTCTCACACATCAGGATTTTAGAATCTAGGCAGTGATTCTCCATGGAGCATAATAGAACTTTATTAAGCATCAGTTTCAGTATGAATATAAAAAATTTGGAATTTTTTTAGAAACACACATACTGAGACAAAGCCAACTCCTAAGAGGATTAGGAAAAATAAATTAAGCAAATTCAGTGCTTTTCCAATGGAAGCCCGTTACTGTATATCAGATGAAGGAAGCTTTGCTTCTGAGGCTGACTTTGCAAATCCCATGACTCATGTTTATTTCGGCATCATAACCCACCAGGATTCTGCAGAACTCTCTGCGCAGCAGGTATTGGTGGTCAAGGTTCAGATAGGATTGTTGACCATAAATGGCTCGGGCCTTATCTAGTTGGAGAAAATGGGAGCTCACAAAATTTCATAGAACAGCTAATGCCCAGGCAAAACCATGCAAATCAGCTGGACATGTAAATAAATGGAGCAAGGCACAGATGAAAAGGAAAGAGAAACGAGTTTTGGATCCACACAATCATGGTGTCTTCCTTTCTTTCTTGAAGCTTGGAGTGCTGCCAGTTCATCGTTCTAACTGGGTTCTTGGATTCAAAAAAAAAAAAAAAAAAAGGCTCTACCACTTACTAGCTGGCAGTGTTGATGTTGGAGAAAAACTTAAACATGCAATTTCCTCACATCTAAAGATGATAATGGCCCCCTCGCTAGTAATAATAACAATAAACATTTATTGAGAGTTTACTGAATTTTAAGTAACACAATTTTAAGAACTTTACATCTATTCCATCTGCTGGTTCACTCTCCAAATGGCCACAAAGGCTGGAGCTGAGCCAATACAAAGCCAGGAGCCAGGAGCTTCTTCCAGGTCTCCCACATGGGTGCAGGGGCCCAAGGACTTGGGCCATCCTCTGCTGCTTTCCAAGGTGCATTAGCAGGGAGCTGTATCAGAAGTGGAGCAGCCAGGACTTGAACCGGTGCCAATATGGGATGCCGGTCCTGCAGGCTGGAGCTTTAATCCGCTGCGCCACAGCACTGGCCTCAGAACTTTACATGTATTCAACTCATTTAATATCACATTATGAAAGAACTTATTACATTTTAAAATTTAAAAAAAAATAGAGAAAGGTAAGAACCAGACCCAAGGTCACACAGCTGGTAAGTGGCATTGATTACACAAAGGGTCAACATCGGGAACAGGAGGTTAAGATGCCTGTGACCACATCAAAGCATGTGGCTTTGATTGTCTGCTGTGGCTCCTGACTCTGGCTTCCACCAATGCAGACTTGGGGATGGGGGTGGGGGTGGGGGAGTGGCAATGGGTCAAGTAATTGGGTTCCTGTCCCCCATGTAGGGAAGCTGAACTGAGCTTCTGGCTTCAGTGCAGCCCAGCCCAGATGGTTGCCATCAGAATGGAATGAGATAATATAGTCTTGTTTACCACACTATAGGTCTGTGTCATAATAAATGGCAGTTGTCATTGTAAATTGATGTCACGTTAGAAACAATTACAGAAATTACAGAAGTCTTGGCGATCATGAGTGAGGGAAGTAGCACCAATGAAAGACTGAAACTTTTTATGGAAAGTCAAGTTAATGGGATAGTAACAGCCCATTACAGACCCTTCCTAAGAACCCACTGCGGAGAAACAGCCAGCATAAGCCACCAGCAGAGCCACTGCAGATGGAGAACCACAGCCAAGCTCAGGAGAGGCACAAAGGCCAGGTTCTTACCATGGCAGGGGGTGCAACCCTGCAACAGAAATTTTCTGATCCTCCCTAAAATAATCTACTGTGGTCTAATCCTTTTGTTTTTCTGTTTCGTAACTAGAGAGTCATTGGCTATCTTTCTGCCTTATAGATAACCCCACTCTATTAATACACACTCTTAGAACATTCTTTCCATTCCTCAAGATATACTTAATGCTAATCCCACTCTTGATTTCATCTTCAGCCAAGATGAATTTTATGCATCTTTTCTTGTATTGCCTCCAATCCTGCTTAAAACTTTTCACTTTCCCTTTCATCAGATCTAGTCTTTAAATGACCTTCCACAGAAACTGTTTCAAAGGCTGTTTCTTAATCACTGTCTGGCCCAGCTTTCTGTTCCGAGATTTGCATAAATGGGACCAGAGGAAGCTGAGCTGTGCTCCGTGCCACCCTTGGAGAGAGGATTCGCTCCTTCCCGGAGGCGCTGCCCAACTCTGACCAACCCGTGCCCATGGCCTTGGCTCCATTCTCCCCTCACCCCCAGGATTCTGCTCTTCCTCTTCTCTTCCTCCATCACCTCCCCGGCCCCGCCCCCTTCTCCCCCAATCACACAGCCTCCATCTCGTCACTTTTCATCTTGCTGGTCCCCTAACATTTTTCCTATTTTACTTCCAGCTATGGTCAATCTCTCCCATAAGTGAGACCCTTTGTAGTTTCAACTTTGTCATGCCTCGGTCCTATCACTTTCTACCAATCCCTTTTGATGAGCTACCATCTTCTATTTGTTAAGGTCAATAGCATTTCCCTGATTTTGTCCTCCTTAATCCCTGAGTAGCATTTGGTGCCATGGACCCACCTGACTCTTGCTGAAATTCTCCTCCTTCAGTTCCTCTCCTCCTGGAAGAGGCACTCCCTCCAGACAGCTAATCCTGGTGTCCCCCAAAGAGACCTAACTCCCTGTTCCATGGAGTTGCATGGGTCTATGTCGTGCTCCTCCTACAGACTGTAAGTTCCTAGGGGGTTATGCCTGTCATGTGACACATACACACATATTCAGCCTGGAGCTGATATAGTGCCCCGCTCATAGCAAGTATTTACCAAGTCTTGAGTATGGACATAAATATGGTCTCACAATGTCAGGATGCAGCAGGTGGTAGCCCCAAAATGAGCTCAATTTGCCTGCCTAGTGATTTTTAAATATCTGATAGCTAAATATTTAAAACTGAACTATTTTGCATTAAAATATCAGGTTTCCTTGATAATTTTCTTTGACAAATCTGATTTAACCCAACTGGTGTCTATTCTTGTATGGCAACTATTGGCAGGATCTAAGCATCTCCTGTCACTTGGGTGGGATTTGTGTCCACAGTTTCCTGCACGGTTCATTGATATTTCCTTCATGGCCTTCTAGGTACTTTAGTTTTTGCAAACTCTTGATAAATGAACCAATACAATTCATTAAGAAAAAATGGACTCTTGGATTCATCCATCAGTTTGCCACCAGCCCTGTCACCTGACTACCTGTAAAGGGACAGCCAAATTGGCAGTCATCGCTGAGCTCCCTGCTGGAGAGAATGCTTCTGCTACAAAGACTTCCAGGGTCACTCCTGCCCGAGAAACCTCCCCCACTTCTATGTCACCACAGCGCTTTGTATGTAGGTAATACAGGCTCCCTTCTGCTCAACATGCAGCCATGTGCACACGCCAAACAATCGGCTTTGGCTACCCCCTGCTGACATAGGCAGGCAGATAGAACTAAATCAATTAGATTTGTGAGCTGGAAGACCACACCTCCCTGTGTGATCTCACGCCCCTGACTGACTGGCCCACCTGCCAATCAAACTATGTAACCACTCCCCTTTGGAAGTGAATAAAAGGCCTGGAGCACGGTGGGCCCTACCCTTGTTGCCCCGTGCCTTTGGGCCTGTAGCCTTTTGGCCTCCGCCCTGCTTCTGCTTTCCTGCCTGCATGCTTGTCCACATGGCTCCTGGCCTGCTCTCTGCCTGGGATGGACCCAACTTAGTTTCTAGACTTCTTTCTCCCCTAAATAAATCCCTCACTTTCCTGTGCTTTCCTTTCCCTGAATAAAATGTTAAAACTTGCCATGCTGCCTGGTTCATTTTGAGCCGATATTCAGAATTCTTGTCTGAATAGATAGAAAGAACCCACTAAAATTATTAATATTAAAATTATTAATAAGACTGGACAATATCACTGCCAGGGCTACCCCTACATGAGCTTTCAATGCATCCTGGGGCCAATTCACCTTTATTCATAATTCACCTGTGAGGTTCTGGGTCTTGAACAGTGGAGACGACACAAACTGCATAGGGACAGGAGTAGTAGCATTTGGTGCTACAGAAGGGATAATGAGGTTTTTGTTCCCTTAGGCCTGGCCCTATTGACTGGGTGCAACCTCTGTGAAGGGGCAGGGCCCAGAGCTGACATCAGTTTCTGGAATGTCTCAGGGTAGATCTTCCATGATGGCCCAGGAGACACACAGTGGCCAGAAGTACAAAAGTATTCTCTCTACCCAGAGGCCTGCAGGATCTGGATGAAGGGGAGACAGCTGTGGGCCTGGGTGGTGGCTTTCCCTTGATGAGCTGTGACAGTGGAAGACTTGCCATGCCAAAGGCAGTGTGGATGACAGAGCAGAAGAGGACAAACAGAGCAAACCTGCATAGGAACAAAAGGTTGAAGGCACTTCTGAAGCCCTTCTGGGGGCTCCCAGGAATCACTGGGGGACTCTGCTTCGGTCCTACCTAGGCACACACCAGAGCTACCGCATCATCAGGCATTGATTTACAGACATTTATGGTCACATCTCTACTCATTGGGACATAAAGTTGGCTTCTTTAACAGAAAGGCCTGAATAAAATGATGTAAATGAAAAGTTGATTTCTTCCTCCATAAGAAGTCCAGGAACAAGATCTAGAACCTCTATGTCAACTCCTCAGTCATCAGTGCCTAGACTCCTTCTGTCTTGCAGTCAGAACCTGAGCCATCCCCAGGATGTCACTTTCACATTACGAGTCGCGATGGCACCTCCAGCTTCTGCCATTATGTCTGCACTCAAAGCAACAGCAAAGGGGAAGGTTGGGGACACTGCTTCTTGTAAAAGGTACAACTGAAAGGTTGACACACCTTTTTCTCTTACATTCCATCATCCAGAACTTTGATATAGGGCCACTCCAGATGCATGAGAGCCTGTGAAACAAAGTATTTAACTTAGTAGTCATGTACCCAGTTAAAAAATTGTATTACTTTAGAAGGGGAGAATTCAATAGGAAATAGGAGATTTCAAGTAGACATTTTTTTCTATGACATTTGTCTCCATTAGATTGGAAGCTCATTGAAGACCACACCTTAGCCAACTCCGATCCCACAAGCACTAGTCTAACATGTATGCTGAATTGATGTCCAAAAACCACAACTTCCATGACATCCTGGGTCTTGCCACCCTGTACAATGGGCTAGTCATGGTCAAAGTGTGCACACATGCGATGGAAGTTGACCCTCCCAGAATGCATGTCTTCTCTACCACATGCTAGCTATGCGTGTCTTTGAGTCAGTCTGCATCCAATTCAGTGTGACAATACCTGCTGGCTTGAGATTATGAAGATCAAAAGTATGTTTAGTGTTTGGTACTCAGTTGGCACTTCAATGTTTTTAAGAAACCATGCTGTTCTAAGCCTTGGCTGTCAGGGAGGGGCCACACACACACAGAATCCCAGTCCATCTTTGGAAGTGCACAACAACTTCGGGGAAAACAACAGAACACTTCCGAGTATGTGCTTGCTTGGTGAAATCCAGTTAATAATCCTCTTTATGAACAATCAAGAAGAAACCTCGGCTAGTCACATTGGGAAATCCATAGCTTACATTTCTCTGCTGACTTGCAACAAGATTTTTCCTCAGTAGGACCCTGTTGGCTACGGAGTCATCTTCCCTCCTAGCCTAAGGACACCAGTACAAAGAGATTTTCAATTATCTGTGCTGGAGAATTCCAATCCCACAGAAGGTTTGGCTAACAGGCTCTTTGCCTGAGGTTTTCCAGCCTGCCCTAAAGGGCTCCTCCTGTTTCCAGACAATAAGGTTTCTTGGCTCTAGGGCTGCATATTGCTTGGGAATTCTCAAGGCAGCTGGCTCCTTTCCTCCTTTCTGGCAGAGTGAGATCCTGGACCTCCCTCTAAATCCCTTAGAATCATAGCATCTACAATGCAAGTCATCATTCCCCAAGGTGTTGCCAAGATTGTTCTAGAGTATGTGACTTCGAGCACACAGGAATAAGAGTCACACTGCCTGCAGTGGTGTAGGAAGAGCATAAAATCAGGTAGACTTCAGGGCAAGTCCCAGTCCCTCTTAGCTGAGAGACTTTGGCCAAGTCTCAGCCTCAGTTTTCCTCATCTATAAAGTGGAGGCTAGCTCAGACCTCGGGGAAATTAAGAGAACAACTATACCAGACACCAAAAAGTTACTTTTTACATGGAAAAGCTCTGTGAAAACGAAATGATATAAAGTTGGGTCAAGTTCCCTTTGGTGTTTCTATGGGAACCCATCAGGGCCTCTCCCATGTACCACTGCTACCCTTCATCCCAAGGCCAGGATGTTGTGCGGTCCTGGCTGCTCAGGGGGCTCTGCCCCAATCCCTCCCACCCTCTGATGAGGAACATTCAGAGAGGAACTTGACTACCTCCCATCTCAAGTCCCAGGCCCATGAGTATCTGGCTCATTGGTTCCACAGTTCACCTCCCTGATGTGGCTGTCCATTCTCAGATTAGTGTGCAGGTTAGAGCTTGATTTTAGAGTCAGAGAAACATGGCTTTGAACTCTGCCCTTCCACTCACTTGCTGGGGGCTTTGAATCAATTACTCAGCTGTCCGATTCTCAGTTTCTAAGTGGGAAAACTGATAGCAGTGTTTCAGTTAGGGTGCATTTGGCTGCACATAGCAAAAATAATTTCAACTCAAATTGGCTTAAACAGTAAGGACATCGATTACCTTAGAGAACAGATGTGGAGAATTCAGGTGTCAGGGCTGTTTGATTCAGTGCCTGGCCTGTGCCATTAAGGAAGCTGTCCTTGCCCTCTCCTAGCTCTGCTATCTTCACGCTCAGTCTGCCTAACCTGTGAGCTCCACGGTTGTCTCCATCCCGGGCAGCAAAGACTGAGGACACTGTAAGACATGCCTCTCTCATCTCTCAGTCCTGAACCATCCACCGGGAAAGCGATCACTGGAATGGGAATGCATTTGGCTTGCCCAAGGCTATATTAAGGAAGAAGAAAAGTGGAATTCAGTTAAAAGTATTATATTACATGACTAGGAGGTCATTAGCATGAAGAATGTCTCCATACTTTGAATTCCTGTGTAACCACAACTAACTTAGTATACAAACATATACCTAATTTTGTAACAGCTGAGCTTAGGCCATCACAATCAACTTGGACCATGCCCCAATGAAGCAAATGCCTCATCCCTTCAGCCAATCAGGTGACTCCTCTACTTTGCTTCTGTGTCCAGCCTATAAAAGCTCCCTGCTCACATGGCTGAGGGAGCTCTCTGAATCTCTTTGATTGAGTGCTGCCATATTTATTGCTCTTTGCTTAAATAAATGGTTAAGACAAGACGAATTAAATTTAGAATAGGGACAAAAATGGACCCTGGGTGGGCAACCCAGAGTTTCCCCTGCCAGTGCTCCATCAGGGTGATATGAGGAATGAAGGAAATAAGGCAGTGAGTGCTTGATAAATGGTGCCTATCAATGTTATTGTTCTGTTTTTCCATTCTACCATCTAACTCTCTACCCTAACTAGCTATCTCAAGGCACAGGTGTGTGATCAGAGGGACATTCCAACACTGTGGCAGTTTCTGACACCAAACAGAACACTGAGAGACAGATTTTCAAGCAGAGGGAACCAAAACAATCTTCAAATCTCAGCCACACCGGATTCTCTTTGGGGCTAGCACTGGTTGTGGTCCTCCTGCTCTGGTTGCTTTGTTTGCGAAGGAGAGTCAGGCACGTGTTCTCAGAGGCCACCTCACAGACAGGAGAGCACGGCTTGGCTGCCAGCAAGCTCTTTGTCTTCACTGCCACCCCCAAGGCCCTCTCTGCTTTTTTATTTGCCCATTCTCTCCAGCACATGAAACCACATGCTGATGGGCCTTGTTTTCCTTTTTGGCAATTTTCCCAAGCAACACTGTGAGTACAACAGGGTAATATTTTGAAAATATCCATCTGATAGAGTTGTCATTTTCTTTTGGTCCTTGAATCATAAGTCTGGACATTAGGCTTATTACTCAGAAAGAGAAGGGGTGGCTGCTAAAAATAGCAGATACTGTTTTTCATAGTCCATTCTTGGATATTGGTTTCCACATTAGAACATTCCACAGTATAGAATGTGTTATTTTTTACAAGGCCATCTGGCTCAAATGCCTGCACTTAAGACACATTCTTCACGCTTCCTGGTCGGGGATAGAGGCAAACAGCAATGCGGACCAACTCCCTGAGGAAGGTCCTCCTCTCTAGCCACACTGAATTCCTGTCCTCTTTTCTCTGGTCTCCCTGTTTCTTCTTATACTGTTTCTTCTATATCCTTCCTGCCTTTGCCTCAAAGAGAAAATTTTGCCCAGCTCAAAATTAATATTCAAGAAAACTTTTTGAAATAGCTTTGGTGGCCGGCACCGCGACTCACTTGGCTAACCCTCCGCCTGCGGCACCGGCACCCTGGGTTCTACTCCTGGTTGGGGCACCGGATTCTGTCCCGGTTGCTCCTTTTCCAGTCCAACTCTCTGCTGTGGACTGGGAAGGCAGTGGGGGATGGCCCAAGTGCTTGGCCCTGCACCCGCATGGGAGACCAGGAGGAAGCACCTGGCTCCGGATCGGCACAGTGCGGGCCATGGCGGCCATTTGGGGAGTGAACCAACAGCAGAACGAAGACCTTTCTCTCTCTCACACTGTCTAACTCTGCCTGTAAAAAAGAAAGAAAGAAAGAAAGAAAGAAAGAAAGAAAGAGAGAGAGAAAGAGAGAGAGAGAGAGAGAAAGAAAGAAAGAAAGAAAGAAAGAAAGAAAGAAAGAAAGAAAGGAAGGAAGGAAGGAAGGAAGGAAGGAAGGAAGGAAGGAAGGAAGGAAGAAAGAGCTTTGGATTATGCAGTGTCATTGAGTCATTTTATGTACTACTCTGGATGTATGGGGAAGTTTGAAAGCAGATATTAGTTTTATGATTGATAAGCTCTGCTACATAGCAATTGTACATGTGATTAAGTGGAAAACAATGTAGGTGAAATCCAATCTAATTAATTAGACATTTCACTCCAATTAAATGGATGCTATTCTACTGAGTACAGAAATACCAAGTGACTAAGACAGGGTAACCAGAAATGCATTGCTTCTTTTTGAAATGTAGCAAAACATGTCAGTTATTAATTCTTTGGAAGACCATTAGGCTAAGACTTCTCCAGCATGATCAGTTCTTACATAGTATGCATGGTTTGGATATTAGTTTGGGTGTTTCCCAAAGGCCCATGTGTTAAGGAGTTGGTCCCAAAATCTTATGTTAATGGTACCAAGGGGCCAGAAATATGACCTAATTTTGGTGTTCAGAAGTAGGGCTTTTGGGAAGTGATTTGACTGGGCTGGGTTGTTAGGGTGGAACCCCAAGGTAAAATCATGGTGGCTTTATATGGAGAGACACGTGTTCCCTCCTGCCAAGTGATGCTCTGGGTCAGCTGCCAGCAACAATGCCATCACCAGACACGGAACCAACGAGCTGACCTGATTTTGGACGGTGAGCCTCTAAAACTGAGCTGAAATAAACCTCCTTTCTTCAAGGACAGCTTGTCTCAGGGATTTCCCTGGGCAACAAAAAGCTGACACAATAAGCAAACCAAGACGCAATTTAAGCAGTAATGCAAAACCACTCAGAAATCACCAGCTAACCTTTCACTAGAGGCTTTATCAATTGAAAACAACCAACTAACTTCTCTAGAGACTTTTCACTTTAACCAATCAAATACTGTCTTTGTCTTGCTTCCACATCTCTGTGTGCCCTTGGTGGAGCACTGAAGCACCTGTGGTCTGTTGCTACCCAAACCATGAATCGCTGAATACTCAAACTCAGGAAAATGTCAGTGTGCCTAAGTTTACCTTTTAATGCAATTAACCAACAAACAACAATTCTATTGAGATATGTGGCTTCTAACGGTTCTGCCGCAGGCAAGCCACCATGGCCCTTAAAGTTGATCAGCATGGTTTTATACCATATCTCATCAGTATTCTGAGTTTGTGTACCAGCAGTCAAGTAATAATGGTTACAAAGGCAACAATCTTACTCCTTGTTCTAACTAAGAGCAAAATCTCTTGCCTGTAAGAAAAAAAAGCAGCATATGATAGGCAAGGCAGCATCCAGGATACATTTTTTCTTAGTCACCAAGGTCTTTGTCATGTATCAGTTTTCCCTTGGGATGCCCATTTAGACATAGTCCATGAATATTTGTTACTTAGCAATAATGAATACTATGTATGTGGGATCCTCAAAACATTAATAGAAAATGCATATTATGAAAAAATTATACACAGCTTTCAAAATTTTACACCAAAATAAATTTGTCTTTTAATTCTATTTCCCAGACTTTTTGAAGTACACTTGTCTCTCCCAAACATCTAATTCTCATGATCTAGTCAACATTTTCAAACACAAAGATTCTGCAAAAACAAGCCACTACCCATTTCAAAAACTAACACTGCATTTTTTGCTTAATTCATAAGATTCAGTTGCCATTTTCAAAAGAGCATAAGGCCTTCCTAAAACAGTTGAGATTATGAGACACCAACATTACCAGATAGTCTTTGAGGCTTGACAGGGTTTCTACTCCGGATGCTAGTCACCAGACTAGCATTTTTGGATGAGGTCCCTTCTTCTAGACAGATTTCATCTGTCATGCTTACAAAATTTTCCAAACCTTCGCCCATCAGCTGGGACTTTCCATCTCAAGTATTTTAAGTTTCTTTTTCTTTTAGCCAAACCCTTTGTCTTTTTCAAGTTTAAGCATTTTAGGTTTCTTTTTCTTCACACATGAGAAGGTACTCTTTAATTTTTGATTCTGATGTTTTCATTTCTTTACCTAAGCACTTGATATAATAACTTTCCATCAAGTGTGTTGGTGATCATTTCATTCTCCCTAGTATGGACACTCTTGAAGTAGGTCAGTTTTTAAAGATATTGCTCCATGAATGATTCAGCAGAAATTAATGCTTTTGTTGACTACAGAAGAGAATGTTAAATAAGAGAAAAATACAAATAATTTTATCCCATCTCTTCCAAATCACCACATTCTGGCCTCAGTCTATTGACCCTTCTCTTAACTAATCACCACTCAAGGACAAGGACCAGAGATAACTGGTAAAAGTGTCCTGTTTCCTTGTTTCTTACACTTCCTGGAAAGAAATGCTGACTCACTGTTAGAAATGTTCATGTGTTCTAAGTCTAGGATCCAGGAAACAGGGAAGAATAAGTTAGATTTCAATAATGACCTAGTATACCTGCAAATAACTGGCACCATCTGAGATTACAGTTGAAACTTGAAACAGAAATAGGAGCAAATAGATTTGGAAATTAGTTCCCTTAATCCATGATGTAGATTTAGTTCTATCCTCAACAGCACTTAGGATTGTCCATCTTCTTGGTTTATGCCTTTTTGTTTAATATGGTATAGCTTCTCAATGAGGTTTCAATTTGTTTTTCCCTGATGAGTAATTATGTTGAACAAAAATATTTCTCAAGATGATCTTTTTTATCCTACAATCTATAAGTAGAACTATTTGTTGGCTGAGCAGAAATTAGCAAATGCAGATTTAGTGAAGTTTCTATTTCCATTTTCTGCTGGTCCAATTTGTAAGAGCTCTTTGTTCACTCCAAGGCAGATCATTTCGCCTATAGTTTTTACCTATTCTAATTTTCCTGACCTGTAGAGAAGTAATCTCACTAGAAGAGATCTTCCTTGGGCTGTTACATCTGATAATTTGGTTCTACCTACAGCTTCTGTTGAGTGATGTTATAGGGCAAATAATGTCCCTCTCCCCCACTGTATGTCTACTTGGTACCTCAAATGTGACTTCATTTGGAAATAGGGTCTTTGCAGATGTGATTATTAAAATGAATAGGCGGTCAGCACTGTGGCATAGTAGGCTAAGCCTCTGCCTGCAGCACTGGCGCCCCACGTGGTCACTAGTTGTGTTCCGGCTGCTCCTCTTCTGATCCAGCTCTCAGCTTATGGCCTAGGAAAGCAGAATATGGCCCAAGTGCTTAGGCCCCTGCACCATGTGGAGAGATCTGGAAGAAGCTCCTGGCTTCAGATCAGACCAGCACTGGCTGTTGTGGCCATTTGGGGAGTGAACCAGAAGATGGAAGACCTTTCTGTCTCTCACTCTCTAACTCTAGCTCTCAAATAAAAACATTCTAAATGAATAATAGCAGATAAGGGTGGGTCCCAAACTCAATCTTGGTTATCTTCATAAGAAAGCCGTGTAAAGACATAGACATACACAGGGAAAGGAGGCCATAGGAAAACAGAAGCAAAGACTGGAGTGCTTGGGAAACAGCAGATGATGGCTCAAGGACTGGATCCCTGTGGATTGAGTCCCAGGCTCCTAGCTTCAGCCTGACCCAACCCTGGCTGTTGCAGGCATTTGCCTGGTCGGGGGATGGGGTGAACTAGAGGATGCAAGATCTGTCTCTCCACATTTCAAATAAAATGAAAATATAAGAAGAAAGAAGTAAATAAATATTGTTCAGTGAACTTTGTGAATTCTCTTTCCTTCATCAAACGACAGAACCAACTCAGACTTACTTTTATTGGCTCATATGCAGGTACTTCAGAGAGCTCATGCAAAATGGAATTAAGAGATAAGTTTATTTTGGTACAAAAATTTTTTGAAACCCATGGATAGTTTATTCATAGTATGCATTTTCCATGAACTTTTTGAAGATCCCTTGTATACATGGATTATATATTTTTTAAGAACAAACTAAACTTATCTTTGATTTCCATTTTCCACAAACTTTGTGAAATACCTTATATAACTGAAGACCAGGATAGCATTTGCTTTTGGCAGGGCTACGCTTGGGGAGTCATAAGACATTCTAGCTTCATTCTTGGAAGAATATTTTCTACCAGTCCTTGTAAAGGCAGAGACGGCCCCCAGAAGCTGCGGGGTTAAACAGCCCTCATAGCTAATTATCCTAATGCAAACAGAAAGGAGTGCTTCTCTATAGGTACAGACTGTGCCCAGGGTAAGGTTCCAATTTACCCAGCCTGAGCCCTAGTAACTGTGACCAGGGGACTAGGAAGCACTGGCCGACTCCAGCACAGGAGGACTGCACCATAAGGTTAAGAACAGGGAGGGGAGGGCTATTTCCTTGGCAGACAAAAGAAATACCCATCACTTGCCCACGCTGTCACTGGGAGTCATCTTTGGAATGATTGCCATCGCTGGGAATTGTTCAGCTCTCTTTGTGATAGCCTCATCTGGAGGTCTTTGCAAGTTTCACTCTTAGACCATTAAACAGTCGGGAGAAAGTGACCATCAGCAAGTCTTTATCTGGAGCAAACTTCTCTGACTCCCCCAAATTCCAGTAGGATACACATGAGACCTCAAAAGGAATAAAGACACTAACAGAAATTTCAGGGATAAAAGCATTAAGATTGAACCTCACTGGTTCAAAAAGACCTGTTTTAAGATTGGCAAAACAAGGGTGCATTGCAAGAACTGTGCACACTTCCAAGCCCTTAATGACATAAAGTAAGGTAATCAGTTTGAAAACAGAAAGGAATAAATGCTTATAGGGAATCAAATTAAGTATTATTAGACAATTGAGAATTCTTTCTCTTGGTCTCCATAGGGCAAGAATTAGTCTAACTTTTGAACTATTCAAAATAAATAGGAATTGGGATGTAGG